AAAAAAATCCAACATTAATTTCTGTTGCCCTGACAAATGACTTGAAACCACAGGTGCAAAAAAAAAGAAAATGGCATTATAAGGTTTGCAAAATTGTATAATGCAAACCTGAGGGCTATGTCTCCAGGAAGAAATGTGGGAGGGCCTATAACAATCATAGGGTGTTCTATTGAATAAATCTGGCAGAAGACAATCAGCAGCTTCCAGAATAAATTTTGAGGATGGAATTATTTCATGTAACCTGGCTTGTTAAACCAGCCATGATATCAAAGCAAAGTGTCTCTTTGTATTTATTTTGAGGGTGGAGATTTATATATATGACATAGATATACCACAGCCAAAACAATGTCTCTGTTATTTGTCTTAGAATCCTGGAAGCACGCATCAAAACTGGATTCTATCCAAGGAAAAATTTGGTAAAATGCCAGCTATCATTAAGGAAAGCCATGAATTTTGCTTCTGAAAGAAAATCAAAATTTGCTGAGGAAATATTGTCAAGTTTGAATTTCTGTTACATTCTGTAATATAAGTATAGCCAGAAAATTATATTCATAAATTATGACAACATAGCTATATATATATATATATATATATATATATATATATATATATATATATATAGTGAGAGAGAATACCCATATATATAGAGAGAATGAGGAGAGAGAAAATACCTATATATATATATATATATATATATATAGATAGATAGATAGATAGATAGATAGATAGATAGATAAAGAAAATTTCAAAGAAAAACCTTACATTTGAATTTTTCAGTTATAAACTTAAATTTATTTCAGCAGTTGGTTTACAGCATCTTTCGCATAACCAAAAGATTTTATTTATCTATATATATATATATATATATATATATATAATGGTAATAATGAGACAAAGTCGAAAAATTTTACAGCTGGTGAGTTCCTTCCTTGTGTGGTAGGCTTCTTCAGATCAGAATGAATTACAAACCTGAGTTAAGGAAAGTGCATTGGAATGTTTTGAGAAAGGTATAAGAAATAATCTTAGCAGATACTATGGCCAAAAAGTGCTTCTTTTGTTTTTGTACTGAAGCTGTTAACATCTGCTGGATTTGAAATAGCCTTCCTGGAGTAGACCTCTTTTTGTTTCTGTATTAGTTTGTATACCACATTGTGCTACTATTGCTTTTGCAGTGATCAGTGATATTGTGTATGAGCCTGGTCTGAGATTGTCTGTAGAGAACTGTGAAATCAGTGCACTTTCAATGCATTTTCTTCTTAGTGAATTCTTTTCTCTTCTGACCAGACTGACTTTTATTAGGTCAAAATTGTGGTCAGATGTGTTACTACCAGTGCATTTAGAGTGTTATCCCTGCAATTCTCATACAGTCTTTATTTTTTTTTAGATTTCTAGATGTTTCACTGATGTATATCATTGGGCATTTTGTGCAATTTATTTTCTATGTTTCTGTGTCCTTTTTGTTGTTGTTTCTATTCTATTGACAAATTTTCAGTCAACCTTTGCATAAGTCTAAGGATGCCTACTTAATGAAAGCAAAGCACACTGTCTGTAAAAACTTTTCCACTTTATCTCCTTATCACTTTTGATTGGGTACTATTCTTTATCCTACTAACACACACACACACATACATACATACATACATACATATATATATATATATATATATATATATATATATATATATATATATATATATATATATATATAGATAGATAGGTAGATAAAACATAAATGAGTAAAAGAATTTGATAAAATATATAGATTCACATACATGTAAAACAATAAAAAATGTTGTTTGTCCCTCACCTAAAAATAATTGTAACCAAGGTATTTCTGGAAGATAATGTTTTTAAAGCAAGCAGTCTTTGTAATTAAATTGATTGGCTGATTTGTTTACTATGGCTTATATTATAAGATAATAATGTTTTACTGATACAAATCCTACTTATTAACCCTTAGCTGAAGGGAGAAGAGGTGGATTTGTACCTTTCCCAAGGGTATTTTCATGTAAGTGAATATAATGAACTCAATGGGATTTGGAACTCGGCTCCCCAGTTAATAAATTCTGAGCCAATTATTCATTATACCATTTGCACAGCCAAGATTACAGCATACTGTATTCCCAAATTGTCATCCTTCTAGGTACTTACTAGGCTTGACATTGTGTAACTTCGGTGATTGTATAGGAACTGGTATTTCAACATGATGTGGTCATAAGCCTTTCTGAAAGATAATGCTTTTAAGGCGAACAGTTTTTGTAAGTAAACTGCTCAATATTAAGGAATAGAGTATTAATAGTAATGGATAAAATTAAATGTTCACTTAACTGGAATTGGAACTCAGCTCTCTGATTTCATCCTGAGCTTCTTTTCATTACACCACCTGCACATCTACATATATAGGAGTAAATTTGGATAGCGTTGTTATCAACAAACAAGTCTATGTGATCAACCTATTATTACATATCAAATGAAGTAATGACTGAAGGTAAACTTAATAATCCACATTTATTGTATCAAACCAGAAGGAACTGGTGACTTTTTGAGAGAAATGATCATATTAACCTTGAATAAATAACTCTGTCCAAGTCCACATTGGACACTGGAGAATCTGTTCCTGCTGTACAAATGAATTCTCTTCTTAATGCCTTACAGGCATGTGAATAAATCATTTGATCACACCTCTAATAGATCACTTAACACAAACAAGCCACCATTCCTTCCCAGAAGTACAAGACAGATCATTCATACAGTACCTCTCTTGATATCGTCAACCAAGCATCAATTCAGATCCAAGAGAGAGTTAGATGTTTGGCTATGAATTGTCCTTGACCAATAAGGTTATCAATATTCCTACTGAAACAAAAACCAGACTCTGCTGATCAATAAGTACTGGTCAGTTATTCTAAACTAATTGGTCTTTTTTTTTGTTAATGCCTTGTCAATATAAGACATAGATAATCGTGACTCTCCACAGCTTCCTTTTAATCTATGAACTACCATGATTTTTCTTGGAAAAGGTACAGAAGTAGTTTCTTTATTCGCTTTTCCATACCTAAGTGATTTTGATTCAGGGGCAGGCCTAAAATGGTGTACTGTTGCCGTATTTAGGCAGGAGCTGCCCAATCCTCACTTTCCAGTTTTGATATAGTTCAAAGGCATTTCCGAGTCTTTGTTAGTCACAAATTATTTTCCATCCTTCAACAACTCACAAGCGGGATGTGGTAAGCCTCTCACTGCTCTATCGCTATTTCATTCTTTGGTTCCACCAGGTCTAACCTTCAAAGGCTAGGTCCTGCAATGGCACTTACCTTGTAGCAAACCACCCACATTCCCTCCATATTTTATTGGTGAGAATTAAGTTCCACTCAAACAGCTTCTTCCTGTCAAACACTGCTCTGTGGAACAGACTCTGAAGAGGTTGTAGCCCCCATCAACACATTCTTAACCTGTCTAGAGTTAACCGATATCTTCCCCTCATATTCATATAAACTGCTCCTTAACATAACCCTCTACCTTGAGTGGCCCCTGGGCCTTGTACAGGGTGAACCTTACTGCAAAAAATAAAATTTCAAATATGTGGGAGGCATAATGGTTATTACCAGAAAAAATGTAATCAGTTTACTAGGTTTAAATTCCATCTGAAACTATTTGATTCAATTGGTGAGAATAGCCATTTCAATACTACAAATATTCAGCATTCATCAACTTATGTTACTGTTACTGTTGATTAAAATTCATAAAATCTTATTTATTTTTAACAGTTTTTCAAGAAGTTTGACTTCTCAAGTCCATTAAATCTTATTGCCCTTTGTGATATTGATAGGAGTTTCCTTCCAGACTTTTTTTTATTTTGGGTGATGTTAAAAGTTAACAGCATTTTGGGGAGAAAACTGTCTAAGTGGAACTTCCTCCTTAATAATACTGGCATACAAACTGAATAATTTACATAGTCTTTTATATCTTATAGTGTAAATAAGCTGATCAGAAATAGAGAATAGCTATCTTGGTTATTTCCAGTCTCCAATGGCCCCTAATAAGCATTTCTGTGATATACTAACACCTTAACACAATGGAAGAAAGGGCCAGAATAGCCAGAAGAAATGAATGCCAAATATGCACTGTACTCACAAAGATTTTATGTACAATAAATGATTTACAAATAAGTCTCAATCTGTCACTATTTGTCCCACACAGAGAAACACTAATATATATGGATAAAAAAAACTGAGAGGGTCTTACTTGCCATCTACAATCTTCAAAAAATTTAAATGCAACAGCAATTGCTATCTTCTGTCTCCCTAAATCTTGTTCTTTTATTGTCCTTTCTCTTCACTAAAGTCTTCTCATTCTCTTTCAGTCTCAGTAAACTGTTGCATCCTAGTGGCATTATAACCTTTCTTGGGGTGAGATGAAAAAGGTCAGATGATGTCTTTTATGTTTGGACCATATGGCTTTCATTTGTTCTCCTTACTGCCATGGGTTATTATATCTACCTCCATCAAGATTTACACAGAACTCCTGGACTGACGTCAGTCTCTGGCTGTCACATGACCTTCATGAATTCATCCTTCCAGAAGGGAGATAATTCCCCACTGCATCTGTACAAGACCTTTATCTCCTTGTTTGACTTCCAAGTGTTTCCATTGATATGATCATCTTTCTTCTACTGAACTCTTTATTTCAAATATTGTCTAATTTTTTTCCTTTATTTCTATGCTGTGAAATACATTTTAACAACAGCTAGCAAACTGATAAAATATCTGGAAGAAATGAATACCTGGTGCTGTTTACTACCTTTTGATATTGTGTCTAAAGTAAAAATTTTGAAAGCAGAAAAAAAAAAACCTTCTCTTTCTTTATTTCACAGGTCAAAATTCCTTTCATTGGGCATGACATTTCTCCCTATTGAACCAGATTAACAATGGCAAGTCAAAAGTCATGTCAAATTGAAACACAAAAAAGAATTACCAATACATTTGATTCCCTTTTAAGGCTTATGGCTATATCATGTTAAAACACTCATTCTCATCTGATCACTGAAGTTAAGCAATGTTGGATCTTGTCAGTACCTAGATGGGTGACTGTTTGGAAATACCAGATGCAGTAATCTTGGATGCATGGGTGGTGTAATGGATAATAGATTTGAATGAGAAATCAGAGAGCTGAGTTTGAATTACAGTTGGGTTAGTAATATTCACTTTTGCGCATATACTCTAGGGAAAAGTTGGGCACCTCGAGTTAGCAAGCTTGTCTCACTAGAAATATTACAACTGAGTAGTGAGTTCAATCCTCACTGGGTGCCTCATACTTTCGGCCTTGTGCCACATCTGAGCTATGCTTGGAAAATAACTACTCTAGGGAAAAGTATGAATTCTTCACATCTTCTAGTTATGGGTTAAATAGTAAAACTTGTATCAGAAAATTATCATTAGCTCCAAAAAAATTCTTACAATCCAAAAATATGTTTCAGATTTAAATAACCATAAAAAGGGCGATAATCTATAAAAAACAAACAAATCAATCATGATTGCCTTTTAGTTGTAATTCAGTGGGGCAAAGTTAATCACTGGTTTTACTACTTTTTACTCACTTTATATTTCTTGAAACAAAAGTGATGGAAACATGAACAAAAAGGAAAAGAAAGTAAATGAAATCAGCTAGACAATATATCCAAAACATATTATTTTTTATTTTTATTTTCTTTTAAGCATTACGCCCTGAGCAAGGCGTGAAGCCACTAGGATGCAGGGGGTTGCAGAAGATTTGGAGCGAGAGCAGATAGGAGTGATAGAAGAAAGGATGAGGAGAAGGATAGTAGATAGATCAAGGTAACTGGAGATGTCGATTGACATTACATTTGAATAGTTGGAGATTATAGCTCTCAGGGAAACAGTAATAGGGAAGGGTGTTCCACAGGCGAGAGGTGCAAGGTATGAAGCTATTGGAGTAGAAGAGATGACTACATTTAAAAGTTTCTACAGTGTAAGGGTGAGAGCAGGATGCCAGCCTCATAGGGCGCTTGAATTTATGAAGTCTGGGAACCAGTGAAAGCAGCTCATTGGAGCAATTACCATGAAAGTATTTATAAAAAAGACAGAGAGAGGTGATGGCATGTCTGTGAGAGAGTGACTGTAGATGAGATGCCAGATCAGGGCCAATTATATTACATATCAGTCTCTGGATCTTGTCAAGAACTCTGAGGTAAACAGAAGGTGCACCAGACCATGTATGGCAGCAATACTCCATGCAAGGGCAAATGGTTGATTTGTATATTTGAAGTATTGATTCCGGGGAGAAAAATTTCCTAACACAGCACAGAGAGCCAAATTTCCTTGCGTATATTTAAAAACAAAAAAAAATTAAAATCTCAGTGCCCTCTTTCTTTCATGTACATGTAGTTTCATCCTTGTACGCATCACTTTAATCTGACAGTGTTCTAAAGGATGAAACACATCACACAAAAACTTTTTTCACATTTTTTTTTTCTCTATATGTTGTACTGGCCTATAGGATATTTAAGTTGGATGAACCAGAATTTGTTGAGACTTGGATCCAGTGTTTTGTAGCCCAAGATAGGGCTAAAAATTGAAAGACACCCAGGCAAGACAGGGACAAAATGAAATAACCAACCTCTGTCAATCTTTGGCAAGTTGTGAAGCTATAATGAAAATTACTGTTAAGGTATACCTTGAATAATTGAAGAATTTGGCTTTCATAGAAATTTCAGAAATTACAAAAAGAAGTTGATTAGTGATCACATATCATAGAACAACGCAATATAACAACCTAAAAATATATAAGTCTGACTTGGTAAAACTAAAGGATGGCACTTACCAGAACATTTACTATGGAAATAGCAATAGAGTTGATAATAAAAGAGTTGTTAAGAATTGTATTACCAATTATCTTAGAAAACTGTGAGTGTACTTGTACTCCAAAATTATTTTTATTTATTATAGCATCATGAAATTATTCATTAAAATAATCTTTTAATAGAAAATATCATTAAAAAATTAATGAAAATTCATTAAAATAATCTCTTGATAGAAAATACTTAAATACCATCTTCAGCAGCATTTAAGCTCAGTATAAAATTAGTTCCTATTTACAGAATTTGTATTTTCAAATGTTAATTATCACAAATTGTTAAGGATTCTTCCAAAAATCTATTTATTTCTTTATTAAGAAAAAAAAAACAGAAACAGTTATGTAATTAGCAATTAATAGGCATTGAATTATTTCCCTTGAACAGACATGATTCTTGTTAATTTACATTTAATTAAAAATTACTTGAAAACAAGTGGCCTGATTGGAATGAAAATTGCTTTATTCTTATCAAATCAGAGCATTTTAGCAGTATTGTACCTGTAATAATTGTACTACATTATCTCATTCAGTTTTTTTATCTCTTATTTTTACTGCTATTTTTTTTAATAATCCCACATTGGAGTAATTTTGTGCCAAAAGGAGAAATAAAAACCTGAATGAGAAAAGCTAAGTTTAAAATTTAGATGCATTGGATGTCAAAATATAAATGTTGAATGTTTTAAAGTAAACTATAAACAATGTTTATTGCATTTCTTTCCACCACATTTTCCCTCTTTTATATATAGGAGTGGGTCGATTAATATAACTGCTGACTGAAGGCATTCATTTTTAAAATGAAATGTGTCACTATATACTTTTAAGTCTTGTCATTCACTATTATTTTGATACATATATTTTATATATATTTCCCATTTTCTTGTGTCATTTTTTTCTTGGTTTTTGCTATATTTGTTGTTAGTATTTTCTTTCTTTTGAGTTTCCTTTTGATGATGGAGCAGGCTTTCTATGGTGTGTGTGTATATATATATATATATATATATATATATATGATGGACTCTCTCTCAACGTAAGAGGTTCTGATGGCCATAAACTAATTATCTGTATGCCTATGATGGGCATGATTTTTGAGACCAACTTGAGAATTGCACAAAAGACCGCAAACAGTACAGGAGAATTTATTTTATGCAAGTGCAGCAGGAACACTGTTAGCTGTTTTATTTTGCTTTTGTTTTTCACGTAGTCGAATGATGCTTACTTCTTGATGGTGCATTATTCCTGAATGGCAGCTAGAATGATACTCTGATCTCTTCATAACTACTTCTTCAAAGTTCTTGAATGGAATGTTGATGCAAGAAAGGTTGCTCTTCAGTTTATCTTTATATCTGAGCCAAGATCTACCAACATTTTTTGACCACTGTGGAGTTGACTGTAGAAAAGAACTTTTAGTATACAATCATCATTCATCCTTGCCATGTGACCAGTCCAATGTTGTTGTGATTGCATTATGAAGGTCTTGATGGTACCTCTCTCTCTCTCTTTACACACACACACACACACACACACACCTACATTTGTAGGTATTAGATTAAATTTATAATAACCTTGAACTTTGAATCTTACCAATAAACAATATTCAAATGCCATGGTACTCTCCAAATTTTCCTGGGATATCAAGACAAGACGGCTACACACTTGTAGCAAATTGGAATTTCATCACTAAAACTACACACTTTTACCAGCTATGGAGGAAAAAAATGTAACCTTTGTCTATTGGTGAAATTAACCATTCTCAAACAAATTGACAACCCCTATCTGCTGAGCAAATGAAATGAACTTACGATAGCATGCATTCAGAAGAAAAACTCTCTTCTAAATTATTTTGATTCTGGTTAGATTGTTTAATCCAACATTTATTATTTATTATATTTTTGTTACACAATAATTATCTCCACTGCTCTATCCCAGCATCTATTTGTAGTGTTAAAAATATAGCATTTATTTTTTTTATTTTTTACTTTTTCTTACCTTCTATTCATTTTCATCTAACAACACTTTTTATTTTTACTTTATTTTATAATAATATTAAACATTATCTCTATGTATAGTACAATGTTAATTCCTTGAAACAAAGAGATTAGTTGTGAACTATCATACCAAACAATACATGGGAATATATACCATATAAGTTTATATCATATATCATGATTTTTTCCCAACATCCACATACCAACATTCTGTATTTTGAACTTATACCCCAATATTATATTAAATTTATAATAACCTTGAACTTTGAATCTGCATATAATATAGCATTCCTCCCATGAAACCCAGAATTTTTTATAAAAACAACTGTATTAAATAGTTCATTTACCATTTGTGCCTGATGAATTGGGTAACTATGCAACTCTAAGTTGCACTACAAATGTAGGTATATGCATATTTATTAATATATACATTATAGCTCTGTTTAACTACATTGAGCAGTGTTTTGTTTATATCTTAAATAAATATTTATTTGCTCATCTGTATATGTATGTTATCACACACACATATAGTTACTAATATCTTGTTATTCAGTTTATGGTAACACTTTTTTTTAATTCTTTGGCTTTCAAACTTAAGAATTACAATTATATAAATTATAAATAATTAATTATAATATTTTAGGCAATAATAATAAAATAAACAAGTCTTAACACACAATTTTAAATCATTACCATGAGAACGTGAATTTCATAATGCTGTAACGGTCAGTCTGTATTCAGCACCTGAAGATTGCAAGTTTGCATGAAACTCTGAGTAATGCTATCAATGTTGGATATTATATATATATATATATATATATATATATATATATAGTGGAGTAATGGATAGTGGCTCACATTGAGGAATTGGAGAGCTGGGTTCAAATTCCAGTCAAATCCATTACATTCATTTATGTGCTAATACCTTTGGCAAAGGTATGAATCCTCTTTTTCTCTCTCCAGCTATGGGTAAAATAGCAGGACAGACTGGGTTCTATAGCCTTGGATGGCAACTACTGCAGGAAGCAACTACTGCAGGAAAATATCTACCTCGCCAGTCATGTGTCAAAAGATACATGATCGCCTAAGCGTGTATCACACATGGCATAATATATATATATATTTTATAAAATTGAAACCAATGTGATCAGTACAAAAAACATTTATTAATTATTAACCACATTACAGAAATGAAGTACGGAAATTAAACTTCCAAGTTCAGAATTTTTGGGCACACCTGTGTCTTAATCAGTGG